GTTGCTATGTATGGGTCAGTATTTGCAGTGAAGAGAATTAAGTTAGATTAGTAGTAACGTTCCCCAGGCTAACGGTGCCCTTGCCTGGGGGTTTGAAGATTTGCAGATTACTCTGAATTTTTGAAATGAATCGTTTTTTAAGCAAAAAAAACTTTAAGAAATAATTTTTTTGGTATAAAGAACAAGAAATGTGGTGAATAATGAATTTTGTGGTTTTCAAGAAAATTGTACATATACAGGTCAAGTGTTTTTTTTGCCAACACAATTTTCTTAGCTTAATACTTGTTGGAAAACAGCAGAGAAAGTGTAAATGGAGGTGGAGGGTCCTTATAGACCCCTGACAAAGAACAAGATGGCCAGTTTCATTTGCAGGAGTGTTTGCGGTCACTTCAGGAACAGTTGTGTTGATCATGATGAGGTTGGATGTTGAGGTTCAGGTCTAGTGGAAATGAACCTGAAGGCCAGTTTCTTGGAGCTGTGTCTGGTGTTTCATGAGAATCCTTTTGATAAGGATTACTCATGATATTTCATAGCAGTTCAAATTTATTCCATGAAGGTTTCATAACTTCATGGAATATTCTAGTTCATGTAACTTTTCTTCTTGTTGGTTCTGGTTGCTTCAAAGCAACGTGGCGCAACCGTTAGCAACATTTAGTTGTCTCATGGCGCAAAGTTGTTTACTTAGGGCAACACCTAGTTGACCCACAACAATGTTTATGTACTTTTCTCATGAGAAATTATTTCATTTTTGACATTTGCTTGAGTGAATTTTTCTCCATTTTATTAAAGAGAATCAAATAAAAACAAAAATTGTAGTACTGTACATCAAAGATGATTTTCTCACCTGAGTCCATTGTATCCGGTGTCATCATGCAGCCAAGCCAGATTAGCAGACCCAAGAAAACTGCAGACATGGCACAAACCATGAAAATTCGCAAGTTTTTGAAAATGTGCCATTGGAGGTAAATGTAGGCCATCACCAAGGGATGGCGAATGAGAGCCTCGAAGTCTTTCATCTCCGCAATTCTCTTCAACAGCTCAGTATCTTTGCCTATTCAATTTTTCGCGGAAAATTGAAAAGTGGAACAAGAAATAAATCATCCTCTGGATCATACAAAATTTAAAATGCGCAGCAGAACAGAAGGAATACATTATAGGTATACATACACTATCTTCCCGCGAAAAAAAGAGGGGACAGAATGAAGTCTTTTGCTCATTACCTACTGGGAGATGAGAAAAAACTGTTTCTAGTTTTTCATCTTGTAAGTAGTTCATCTTACCTCCGTCTTGAATCAGGATTCCGAAATCCATTTTCATTTCCAAATTAGGATCCTCCAATCCCGCGTCACTGAAAGTAATGCATGAGTCCATGACCAATTTGAACAATTCAGGCGAATTATTCAAAAGGTAATCGGCAACAACGTCCTTCTTCTTATTTGGCAAGAACGCATCAGCTCCAGCTTCCAGTAAATACGAAA